CAAATCATCTCCGGCGGTGTACACCCACCAGAGCTAGGCCACCAACCAGCAAAGCCCAACGATAATGACGGGTGGTAGCCATATCAATCGCTAGGCAATCGTTATTCACTTGTTTGTTTTTTGTTAATGCCAGATCTGGGTTTGTGTTTACATGTTTATGCCCGATCTGACTTACGTGCAGCTTATTCGGGTTTAAATCTGCTATCACAGCCTTGGGTTCTATGTTCTTACCAGAGTTCAATCTTATTTCTTCCATCACTAACTACTGGATTAGTAGAGTTCAGTTACTAATAGTGCTCAAATTTTGGGTTTCAAAAATTGTCGGTGGGTCGATAAATTTTTTCAAGATTATCTGACACAGATATTCGGTTCTTTGACACATTACTGGCACATAGTGATGGTTTCAAGATTCCCTTCCTGACACACCGTGATGGTTTCAAGATTCCCTTACCTACATATTTCATTTTCCTTGCAACCGTTGCAAAGGTGTATAAAACATTACCCACATTGCATGAATCCCAAACGAATCCTTTCAAACACTGGCTCCACGTTCTGAAAACAGCAAAGCCCCAGGATGGACATCCACCTTCAACCAAAGATGGATCTGAAAGTTCGAGTTGCGCATAATTATTGCAAGCAGGGTGACGTTCACGACCATCCTTGTGGGACGTTCCGGGATCTATTCGAGGTAGGTCCAGACAATGTTCAATACTATCGGTCCTTGACCCCTTCTCCCCCAAAGCCCCCATCTCCCATTGTTTGCATTACCCCCAGAGTGGTGTGAGGATTGTTACAATGACAAACGCATTCTAGATTGGGAGGAACGTGGCCGCTTTGAGTCAAGTGATGACTCTGATGTTGATAACTAAGTGGCTCTTCAAATAACTTATTGTTGACTTTAATGTACTTTTTTTTATTTTATTTTTCCAGGGGATCGAATGTAAGTCATGCGATACGTGTGTGACACTTAATAATTATCGAATACAAAAGTTACTTTGTTTTTGGGCGGTTTCACTGTTACTTTTCACATACCTTAGTTCAATATCAACATGAGGCACTTACATAAGATTCACTAATGGTTCCAGATGGTTTCCAAAAAGACACAAATTGGTATCAACAAATATTCAAACTCCGGGACCATAAAGGAAATCAAACTCTTGCAGAAATGACTCTATCATAGTAGGTTCCCTGTCCTGCGTGCTCTGACTGGGCTGCAAATTCTCATCAACTGCAGTACCAACTTCTGCGTCGGAAGATGAAGAGATGCAACATCGAAATAAAGAAACAAGTCAACAGCATTTCTTGTATAAAATTCAAACCCAGACAATTACATATTCACTTACCCACTCACAAGTTTTTGACAACTCCGTCTATCATGATCAGTCTTCCTACATTCACTGCACTGCCGTTTATGTCCTTCCGCTGCCTTCTCTTTTTGTCCTTTCACTCTTCTCGCATGCCCTTTTGCTTTTACTCGATGGGGATCCTTCATTCTGACTTCAGAAGAACTAGTTCCAACCTCTCCATTGGGTTCTTCTTCGACACGAGCTCTTGATGACAACAACCTTGTAAGCTTCCCACGAATGTCGTCAAATGAATTTTCCAGCAACTCAAAACCTTCATCACACAACAAAGCAGAATCTATCAACTCACCTGCAACTTTGCCAAGTTTCGATCTCTTAACCAAAACCAAACCGTCCACGCAATCTTTAACTTCTTTGTCATTCTTACCATATACTACACCGCACTTTGCACTTTGAAGCCATCGTTTCAATATGTAATTGTCTGGCAAGTGCTCCACCTGCTTCATTCTTAAAAATACTAGGATGTGTCGGCACGAAATACCCCAAAATTCAAATTCTTTGCAGCTGCAATAAGCTTTATCGGCATCTTTATCATGCACAAGCTCCTTCATTCGTGTCACCCCCGGATTTACCCGCTCACTTACTTTGTACCTGCACTGGGTCTCATCTTGCTCTAAAAGTTCGAACAAGCATAAAAGGCTTCGGAAGTCTTCCCTCTCAAACATTTCAAGAATTTCCCGAGTGTAAATGCGTGCCATTTGATGTTGCATTGGTGTTCGAAATGGCAGTGGAGGTTTTTCATTGGTATCAACATGATCAGCCATTAACTCCTTGTGCCTCTGTGAACCAAGAGCTCTTTCAAAACGTACAATGAATTCCATCAATATGTTTTTCGGGTTAATATATTGTTGGAAAAATGAATGACAGCTTTCGGCATGACAGCTTTCAGCCCGTTGACTACTTGACATCCCAGCCGAAAACACATGTTTTACATATGATGGAACCCAATTCTCCAGCAAAGCATGAATCAAGCTCAGCCACGGATGGTCTTTCAGCCCATTGCTTGTGACGATTTCATCCCATTTCGCATCAAATTCTTCTTTCGTGTCCATACCCCATATGCATTTGTACATTTCTGAAAAACATTCCCCAATGCCGGGTTTCTCCATAAACTTATTCAAGATATGCCATATGCAATATCTGTGGAATGTTGTTGGGAGAGTTAAAGCAATTGCCTTTGACATGGCTGCATCTTGATCAGTGATGATCATTTTGGGTGGCTCACCTGGCATGGCTTTCTTGAATTCTTCGAACAACCATACAAATGAATCCGTGGTTTCACTAGTTAGGAATGCACAACCAAACAACACTGTCTGCCTATGGTTATTAACGCCTAACAAAGGCGCAAAGACCATTTCATAGCAGTTCGTGTTGAACGTCGTATCAAATACCACCACACCCCAAAAAACCCATAAGCTCGTCTTGACCTTGCATCTGCCCAGAAAACATTTCCTATCCTTCCTTCGGAATCTACCTCCATATTGAAATAAAATGATTCATTTTTTCCTTGCTCAGCCAAAAAATGCTCCTTCAGCAGCTCTGCATCATGCCCAATCACCTCCCCACGCACGTCCCTTGCATAATTATAGACATCTCTCCTAACAAACCCAACATTTTCCAATCCCCCTACTTGCACCTCAAGAAGGCTTACCTGTTTATGTACAGGGATATTAACTTTGCTCATATGTGCACTATAGGCCTTTGTAGACTCTGTTAAGTTACGGTGAGATCTCAATATATGGACTTTATCAACTGTGGTCATGTCATGGTTGTGTACCTCATTGAATCCTACAACAGTGTACTTATTCTTCTCGTTTACCTTCAAAATCGCAAGTTTAGCCTTGCACCCAGTTCGAGTACAACCTCGCTGTCTTCTATTACGACTAACAGTGCTTGTCAACGCATACCCTTGTTTACAGCATACATATTTTTTCCTTGTTACCTCTCCTGTGAATGTGCACGTTCTCGTTGTAGAACACCGAATGCCAAATCTGGCTTTCGCAGCATACATATTATAGAAATTGAACACATCCTCACAGCAATCAAATTCAAGTCCCAATTTTGGTTTCAATTCCGAACTAACTTCCGGTGTCACCTGTCCTTCGCACTCCATTTCACATTTCTTGCAATTTAACCCTAAATATCACATCACCACCATCATATATGACATTAAAATCACTATCTGTGAAACATTAAAGACCTACATACACACTAACGTAACTCGTGCTGATGCCCAATATTTAGCACAGGCTTTCAAACAGCTTTAAAATATATATCAACTAACTATTGGCTGCGCAAATCTCACGACCTGGAGCTCCGGGCCGAGGTGATATGCGTTTAACACGTGACGTCCTTCTTTTGGATGCGGTGCGGTTGTGCGCGGGCGTGCCAGCACAGTCTACCATGCGTCGAGATGGTGATGTAGATGAAATGGTTAAGTGGTGCGCCTGTTTGGGTTCGACTCCTAATCAAACGATTGTGGCCAAGAGAGGAACTGATCTCGGCTGTCAGGTTCACGGCCTGAGCTACAAGGCCGTTTAGTGGTGGTATTGATGGTGGATTTTGGGCGGTGCTCCGGCCCGTTGCTCAGGGAGCGACGGTTGTATGATATATAGGGTGAATGAGAGATTAACAAAGATGGTGCTCCGGCGCCTTGAAAATCAAGGGTCGTATGAAATATTGATGAACGGATTTTCCTTACAGTCTAACACTACTCCTAGGAAAGCAAGTAAAAATATTGAAAGTGCATTACAGGAAAATATAATTTGCTCCGTGGGAGGCTTTGGTTTGGTGTTTTAACCCTTTGAATGTAGCTCGAGTTTGATATTTATAGGAAGAGCTCTTGGAGGAGTAATCG